CATTTACATTTAAATTTAAGCCTGCATTTTGTGAACTATGCCGGTGAAGTGTGGAAGCGATGAAAAGTACTGCAAGCTCACAGACAGACAGAGAGATGTTTTGGCCTCCGTCGGGATCAGCGGGATGAAAAAGTGCAAACAATTCGGCGCTGAGCGAGACAGGAAGTGCTGTCGTCTCCGTGAGGACTCTAATTGGACGATGAGAGGCGTCCGAGAGGCCCTCTGAGAACGTGTGTGTGTGTGTGTGTGTGTGTGTGTGTGTGTGTGTGTCAGACTTTCGATTTTTCTCTTGCATCCCGCTCGCTGTTGTTGTGAGGAGGCGGAGGAGGCGTCACCGCGGTTACGGTTGCCGACGGTGACAGGACAGCATCTGCTCTCTCTTTCTCTCTCCGCGACTCCTGGCGTCTCTCGCCCTCTTGAAGGAAACTCCAGGGAAATCATCAGCATGTTTACTCCGCGCCCCCGCCTTGCGGTTCCCCGCACCACCCACTGACTATGTCCCAGAGACACCCCCCATGCCCCCAACCGCCGGTGACACCCTCTCCCCTCCTCAATATTTGTGTTTTGTGCTCCATGATGCTGGCTGTTAACCTGATGGACAGCTACAACGCTCGCACTTGTAAATGTGCGGAGGAGGAGGTGGTGGGCGCGCCCACCACCGCTTTGCCAATTGCCGGTGAAGTTGTTGGGCGTGTGTGTGTGTGTAAAGGGCAGGCAATTGTCGGTGAGGGATGGGGGGGCGGTGGGGAGGCCTTGAGAGGCCGATCAATGCGATGTTCACCTGCCGTCCACCTCCCCAATTTAAAGAGAAGGAGCACTAACGATTTCCCTGGCGCACCAGTAGCCCCAACCCCCCGCGCCGGCCGCCCCCCTGCCCTCGCACCTCCTACCCCGCTGCCCAACAGAGCCCGACTGATGACACAAAATGTAGAAAAATTAGTCCTCACCCAAGCAAAAGCGCAGAGAATTAGCAGGCTAATGGTATGTCGTTAAGACGGCGTTAAACATGCGGCGGCATGAGGGATGCGTGTGAAAACACAAACGGACGGCGGCGCAATTAGCCACACATTACCGCCTAAAATAGCCGCTAATGAAGAGATGTAGGCAATCAACGTGCAGTTTGTACCAGTGCGGATGCGAACGCTAACATCAGTCATTGTTGGCAACCGACTTTTGCCATCTGCTGATAACATTGCTCGCCATCAGTATTATTGTTTGTTGCTGCTAGCATCGCAAGTACAAGTGAATCAACTGCCCGACCTGAACTGATGACTGCTAACGTTACCCAGAGAGTAGCTGTAGCTGTCTGTGTAAGAATGGTTAGCTGCTAGCATTGTTAGCCTCTAGCTAACTGTCAACAGAACGAGAAACCAGGTTGGTGGGGGCACCCAATTAAGACGTTAGCTGTTAAGCTTCCCCCAACGCTTCATCTCTAACTGTTCATCATAGTAGCTATGAGCCACAAGCATCGTTAACATCATCACCTCTTGCTTTTAGCATCGCAAACATTATTGGCATCTTAAATTGTTCGCTGTTTTGTTCACCGCCAAAAGTATCGCGAGCCGTTCACGGTAGTAATAGCGGTTAGTATCAGTAGCCACTAGCGCCGCTAGCCACCGCTTTCTATTTGTGCCACCCTCTGATAGCATGTCTATCCAATAGCATTATAATCAACCAACAAGCAATTTCTTGCTGTTAGCATTTGTTTGTGTCACTATTTGTAAGCACTGTTGTCTGTTAACAACTAACAAAACATTGTTTGTATTTATTAGTTGCTCTTAGTTAGCCACTAGAATCACTTTCCATTGTGGCCACATTGTGCTTCCTGGAGTATAAAATACAGCAAAATGAGTCCATGGCACAGCAAGCAGGCAGAGAGAGAATTAGCTGGCTACTGGCACATAGTGAAAAGGGCGGTAAACCGTGTGCCGGTGACGCTCTGCCTCGTGAGGGATGCGCCCGTGAACGCAAATGGACAGCTGCGCAATTAGCACCTCATTACCCGCTAATGACGCTGCCAACGTAGCCGCTCATACCGCCTGGAGAGGCAGACTAGAAACCAGCACCGATGCTAATTTTGTGACACGGCCGTGCCGGCAATGGTGTGGTTGCTTACAAATGCTAGTTATGCTAACAGCTACGAATGGCGTCAATGCGTGGGAATACGGCCAGTGGTTCGGTTTCCCGTCCCCCACTAAAAGTTTCTATTCGTGTTCAGCGCGCCATCCGACTCGTTTCTCGCGTTCTTGACGTTTCTCGTATTGACATGCAGGTGAGGAGAAGAAAAGGGAAGAAGACGAAATACAGAAAGTAAGAAAATAAAAAAGCCCGCCTTCGGGCAGAAGGAGGACGATGCCGCACAAGAAGTTGTCGATGTTTTGGCAGATGTGCTAACAAAGACGGTGAGGAAGAAACAGAAAAGGATGGCTGAGAGCAAAGAGACGGCGAGCTTCTTAAATGGTCCGTGGGGAGGAGGAAGAGGAGGAAGAAGCAGAACAGGCAGCGGAGAACGAAAAGAAGAGGAGGGGTAGAGGGAAAAGCCAAGCCAAGAGGTGGGTGAAGGGAAAAAAAGGAAGAGAAGGGAGAGAAGCGAAAGGATGAGGAGTCAGAGGAAGAAAACAAATGGAAGAGGGGAAAAAAACGAAGAGGTGGAGGAAGGAAGAAGAGGAAACAAAGAGGAAATGAAGGATGAAGAGTGCGAGGGGAGAAAAAGGAGGAAAAGGAGTGTGAGATGAAGACGATGAGGAGGCAGAGCAAAAAGAGGAGTAGGAAAAAAAAAAGAGATGGCGTGACAGCCAGGGTAGGTGAGAGGGTAACAGCAGGAGGGAGGAGAGGAGGACGAGGGGAAGAGAAGCAAAAGACGGAGAGGAGGAAGAGAAACAGGCGTGAAGGGAAGAGGAAAACAAGGGGGAGGAAAAGGAGGTGGAGTGAGAGGTCAAGAGGACCAAGCGGGGAAAGGACGAGAAAAGGAGGAGGCGGCGGAGGAAAAAGACAAAGGGGCGAAGAGCAACAAGAGGAAGTGGCGAAGAGGTTGAAGAAGAGGAGGAGAAAGAGAAGAGCGGGAGAAGAAGAGGAAAGAGAGGAGAAGGAGCAGGAGAAAGAGATGGCGGAGGAGGGAGAGGAAGAAGAGGAGGTGAGACGGTGATGAAGGCTTCTTCTCCTTCGTCTTGTCAGGATCAATGGCCGCGAAGCGAAAGAAGAAGCGAGCTAGAGAATCTGTGCAAGGATGACAGGACTCATTACCAACTAACCACACACACACACACACACACACACACACACACACATGCCAGCAGGTGTGTGTGTGTGTGCCTGTGTGTGTGTGTTGGGACAGTGTTGTCTAAAGGTCAACAAGAACACATCATCAACACAACACGCCAACGCCGTTAAATGCTAAGCGCTAACCCCCGTGAACTGCTAACACTACCAGCGTGCAAATACGGGAAAAAGGCATCTCGTAATTCACTTTATAGGGTCTTTGATAGCTAATGCTAAGCTGGTAAATACTACCTTGATGGCTAACAAAAAAAAAATGCTCTATTCTACCCTACTAGCTCATGCTCATCTTAGAAATGCAACTTTGAGCGCTAAAAGATAACATGCTCACTACTCCCTTGAGAACTTAATATAGGCCAGCCTCAGAGCTAATGCTCACCTGGCTCAAATGCTAATTTAACAGCTAACCTGACAAATGCCCCCTCTAGAGCAAATTGCTCCTGTTTTACTGATAATCTGGACAGTTTATGCTACATTCTGGCTTGGAAGGAACAGCTCAACACACCTGCGCTAAAACTAACCTGAAAAATGAGAAAAGAGCCTATCTGCTAAATGCCATCTTGAGTGTTAATGTACACCTGCTAAATGCTCCCTGGAGAGCTAATGCAAACATAAGAAACTCTTAACTTAAAACCAAAAACTCACCTATGAAATAAATGTTAAATGACACAGATAAATGCCATCTTGAGAGGTAACGGCTAACCTGCCAATTGCTCCTGTCAGTGCTACTGCCTACCTATTGAATGCTAACTTGAAAGGTAATAGCGAACCCGCTTAAGAAAAAAAAAAAAAAAACAGGAGCTGTTGTATTTGTAAGGAATGTGATTAGCTTTTGTGTTGTTTTTGTGTCAGTTGTACAAATGTTGCTACTTTCTTGATTTGCGTACTTGTTGACATTTGAGTTGTGCCGATGTATTTTCTTGTTTCCTCCTGAGCTTTTCTGTTTGTTTTCTTGACCTTTTGTCTTTTTTTTTTCCTTCGCTTACGTGCACTAGCAGGGTAGCGTCTTGTCTGTCCGGCGCCAAAACAAATGTGCTCATTAGCGCCTTCCGGTGTCACGCCGACTGTCAGCCCCCTCCCACCACCGAAACCCCCGCGCCAAAACCTTTACGCCGCCGCTGTCATTAGCACGAATGCGGCTGGCCGCTAACACCATCTGTCAATTAGGAGTAGAAACGCTTTTCTTTTTTTTTTTTGCCTAAACATGCAGCCTTTTGTTTCCAAAGAAATGCTACCCCCCTCCCCCCCCCCGCTCCCCCATTCATTAAAACCAGCCTTTTAACTATAACATTAAACAACAAGGAAGCAGTTGGTTTGGCACTGACATTTATTGGAAACAAAAACAATAATATTGGTAATAAAAGCATGCTGGAACATGTGATCTATTGATGACATCATATTCACAGTATGATAGTGGTTAGACAAGCAGCACTGTGAAGCGAGACGCTAACATGTTAGCATCATTTCGTGTAAACATATTTCATGTGATATGAATTTTAGAACTGTGCATTTTGGTTCGTCCAGTTTGCATAGGTTTTCATTTTTAAAATTGTGAATGCATAGCAAAGACAGCACATGCAGCTGTTCCCATCATAGCACCAACTCTACATTTTTTTTTTCACACTGACAGACTGGTTCACCTTCAAATTGAACGTTTTTGTGCATTGATCATGTTGAAAGATAAATCCATGTATTTAATAAATGGTTTATTTTTCAATAATTTTAACACTTGCAAATTTTAGTTTAAAGCACTTAATGCAATAAATAAAACAATTATTAACACTTACAGATAAAAATACCCAATTTATTTCGAGCAGCTCCTGCTACCATCCGAGCTACCTTACTCAGATTTTTTTTTTTTAATGTAAATTTGTTAAAAGTACATTAACAGGTTAAAATGTCAACAACTAAAGTGTTGCTACTATGCCAGCTCGCTAGCAAATAAAGAATGTGTCAATTTGGCACTTTTTAAGATTATTTTCAAATTTAAAAACATTTTTTTTTTGGTGTTTAATATAAGGTCAACCAAATGATTTTGATGACAAAAACCCTTGCTAGAATGGTAGCTCGCTAACAAGATGTAAGTGTAAATTTGGGACTTTTTCAACAATCATTTACCCTTTTACGAAATAACTTAGTAACAGTAAAACCAGTGCGAGCAACGTATCATTGTGCTAACAAATGAACAATTTATAAGTTAGTTTATGTTTAAAATTGACACTCTAAGATCATATTCCATTTTACATTTTGTTTTGCTACATTCTATGTTATGGAACATTAAATAAAACATGAACAAGGTTTAAATCTCACATGATTTAGAAAAGAAAACAATTGCTGTCATGCTGCTGCTAGGCCGCTAACAAGCGAATAATGTGCCAACTTTTCACATTTCTTCTTCAAGATTCTTCCAAATAGAACGAATATTCTTGGTGATCTACCAGCCGTCCACGTCGACGGTAAAGGGTTGTTTGACGGCGATCCGTCCGCTGTTGACCACGACGCAGTCGGTGTACGGCAGGTTTCTGTCGTTGGTGTCTTGGAGTTCGACGGTGTGTACCACAGACTGCCAAATTACATCATGATGCTTTTTAATTACAATTATTTCTATGACATAGTGCAAAGAATATGTTTGGACGCACCATGCCGTCCAGGACTTTTCCAAAAACCACGTGTTTCCCATCCAACCAGGGCGCCTTGGTGGCCAAGATGAAGAACTGTGAGCCATTGGTATCTGCGCCGGCATTAGCCATGCTCACCTATACATAAAAAATTTATATATGTGTATATTTGTATATTTTTATACCACACACACACACACACACACACACACACACACACACACACACACAGACAAAACTTTATTTCATTTTTATCGGAAACAATTCCGTTTTTTTAAGTTCTTGAATGATAGAATACATTTTTTTAAAAGAGGCTATTTTAGCCGTTTACCCTTCACTTGCCAAATGCTGACATTACCCATGTAAAAACTAGTGTGTAAATATGTGCTAGCTAGACAGCAAGCGTGAAAGGACGAAAGTTAAAAATGTAGCATGTTAGCTACTGCCACTAACCTAAATGAGCAACATAGATGTAAGCTGTGGGGTTGAACAGATCAAGAAACACATATCTTGCTAGCGCGTAGGCCAAAATTAGCATCAATGGTGCCGACATAAACAGGCTGGCTTGAGTGTTGAGCACATAGCTTGTTTCACACAAACAGCCAGGTTACTGAAATGTTAGAATGACATTTTCAAAGGGCTAACTCAATGAAATTAAGAGGCTAGCAGGAAAATGTTAGGTAACTTAATTTCCAACCCATGGCTTCAAGAAATCGCTTTTTGTGTTGACATGATGAGCTAAATGGTAAGTAGTTTATACATTCTATTTTTAAAAAGTGGCTACGCCATTGACGTCTTTTAGCCCAAAATGTTAGCAGGTTCAATTTTGCTGACTGAGTGAAATCAGAAGCCAGAAAGAAAGCGTCACATTTCTTGATTTGAGCAAAAAGATTTTGGTTTCTCAAGAGAAGCTAGATAAGGAGTGTAAAAATTGTATTTAAAATAAAAAATAGTTACGCGAATAACGTACCCATCCCGCTGAGCTGTGCTTCAGTTTAAAATTCTCATCAGGAAACGTTGCCCCGTAGATGCTGTGACCTGTACAAAGACGAGCGTGTACATTAGTTTTACCAGCATCGGGTTATCACCACATACGGACAAGTATTTCGACACAAGTAGCTTAGCATGAGCATCATCCCACAGTATATCGATGCTGCAAGCATGAACTGATGTTAATATTTTGGTAGTATCAGCACGTAGCGTGGCAGCGGTGGTGGTACCTCCGGTTCCGTCTCCAGCAGTAAAATCACCTCCTTGGATCATAAAGTCTTTGATGACCCGGTGGAACTTTGTGCCTTTGTAGCCGTAGCCTTTCTACAAATAAATACACATGCCCACAAACACACACACTTACAACATTGGAGTAAATAGGAACACCCGTGGTCCGCGGTCTTACCTCTCCAGTTGCGAGGGCAACAAAATTATTGACAGTGAGCGGGACCACCTCTCCAAAGAGGCCGATGACGATGCGGCCCACCTCGTGACCCGCCACTGTGATGTCAAAAAACACCTGCACACGCGCACAGCTGCTGTCAATCCATCAATGCCGTCATAGGCACCAAAAGTACATACAGTAAATACAGTAAAACCACAATTGTGTATATAAATTAGTGTAGTGTTACACCTTTTGTAGTAAAAAGAAAAAAAAAGAGTTATTTATTTTAATTACCACTGTTTTTGGAAAAAAAGAAGCTTTTTTTTTTTTAGATTGAGTGCTTGCGAGGCCACCCACTCAAAGAGGCTGATGACTATGCAAGCAAAAGTAGATAAGCTCGGTGACATGTCCATTTACTGCAACTACATACGCCAAAGGTGTCAAAGTCAAGGCCCGGGGATCAGATCTGGCCCATCACATCATTTTATGCGGCCCGCGAAGGCAAATCAAACATGGCAACTTCCATGATGCTTGCTAAAATATGGACCAAAATTTCAAGTTCTCATATGTAACAAATAAGAGAGATATTGTAAGCATTTTCTTGTTGCCAAACACCTCATGACAGTAACTTAAACAAGAGTTGAATAAATTGTTATTCTTGACTTCTTTATATGATTTCAGACAAAATGGCCCTCCAAGGGACACAGTAACTAAAATGTGACTCATAATACTCATTGTAGACTCAGTATTAACTGAACAATATGTCTCGTACTTCGTTAATGTAATGATGCACACTATTCGACAACATATTTCAGCTCTCGAGTGGAGGTAAACATGTAATATCTCGGTCGTTGTCGCGAGAATCAAGTGGATCACGTGAGATGGCGGGAAAGCCCGCCGGCACACGTGTGATGCAAGGCGCGCACGCGAGAGAAAATAAATAAGCGCGCGCACACACGCACAAACACACACACACACACAAACACACGCACACACAAATTCCGTGCATGCTAACAACACGAACACACTTATGCTAACATGTACCTTCTCCGTGACTTTGGGTCCTCTGACTCCGCTCCGTGAAGTCGTCACCGAGTGGAGGCAAGAGGCGTCCAGAAGCAGCAGGAGCAGCAGCGAGCGAGGCTCCATTTAGTTCCGGTCACCGAGGAGGAGGAATCTCTGCAGCGGCGCTCAGATGCGAGGATGGCGGAGAATCTTAGAGTCATTGGCGAAACGTCATCAGAAAGCAACCCTGCTCCTCCTCCTCCTCCTCCTCCTCCTCCTCTCCCCATCAGCGGAGCGGAATGGAAGTTCCGCCCACCGAGGTGAGGCAGGGAAAGAATGAAAAAGGTGAGAAGATTCGGACAATAATTGACATGAAAGTTATTATAAACTCTTATTAAGTACTTAAACAGGTATAATTTGAAGACCAACCAAACGGTAAAATACTTTTTAAAATAGCATTTGCTCATGTAAATGATAAATAGCACATTGGCATGTTGATTATGTTGAAGATCAGGTAGCTTAGCATGAGCTTCCCCGCTGAAGACGTCATCACGCTGCCCTGCGCAATGGGTCGTCAGTCATGTAGCTTAGCTATAGCATTATTCATGATGATTAACATCATCGCAGTTCTTTTTTGCAGCTGTTGACATCATGATTTCCTGATGTCCAATTTGTCGACGAACACTTCGCCTAGCATGAGCATTTTGAAGGTTTCTACCAAGGTGAGCAAAAGTTGCATTGTGGGAGTGAAACAAGCCTCAGGAATTTTGCTTGTAAATACTAGTGACCCTGCGAAACTTTAGTACGTAAAATCACAGTCTGAGATAAGGCTATGACCAAACTCTCTTGAAATATGAGCAGGTGTGACATGGTAATTTTCCAGAGGTCTTTTCAGTCATCAAGCACTTAGCTTAGCGTTAGCAAAAATGTTGACATTTTTTGTTTTGGTTGTGTTCCAAAATGCGCTCTGAGTGCACTCTGCTTTATTCCGACCTTTTGTTGCTATGGACCGTTCGATTATTCAGAGTGCTCTAAATAAGGAGTACCATTTGTTTGTGGGTTTTTTGAGCAGTTAATACTGTTTGACCGGTGACTTAATACAAGGTATGGTTGCGTTTGTATGAATTGAATATTTAATGTATTTTTTTTTGTGCATTCAAGGGAGGCAAAGCTGCAAAAGCGAGTATAAGTCCCTGATGAATATCTGTCATTGCGCATGAATTATAATAGTCAGGCTGCGGTGACCTTAACGGGCGGACACGCACACGGGCACACACACACACACACACACGCACACGCACACACAACTTTCTGTGTGTGCGTGTGTGAGCGGGTAGTTTTATCGGTCTCCTGTCAAAGCGACCCGTCCATTTGTCTTTTCTCGCCGCCGTCCACTGAATTAATTAAGCAGGAATGTAAATGTTTTAATTGAATGTCAAACAGGACCTTAACCACGTGCGCACGCACACACACCCTTATTCATAGCTCAGTGACGTATGCGCGTGCACACACACACACACACACACACACGCAAGCGTTAATTTTTTCCCTGTTAGTTGTGTTAGATTTGTTGCCAATTTTTTTATGTTCAAAAGCGCCATCTTAATTTCTGCCGTCTTTTGGTCATTGTTTTTTATTACTTGCGTCATGTTTATCTGCGTGAAGTTACGTTGCAGTAGGCTGCTTCGATTATTCTAATTCTTTCTTCGGGAGACGTGTTGCATAACTTGAGTTATTCGAGTTGTTTTAACATTACAGTAGTTGTCTTTTGTTTTGTTTTTTTGTTTAGTTTGTTTGGTTGTTATGGTGGCGCATTCATCGTTGTTTCACGTTAGCTGTTTTCTGTGACTTGCGTTATGCTACACGTGTTCACTTGAGTTGTGTTACACAACTTGTGTTAGCTGTTATAAGGTTAGGTGGCTGACATGAATTGCTTTCTTTTGTTTCGTCACCTTATTTGTGTTTTTTTTTGCTACTCGAATTGTTTTCTGTTAGCTTATGTTCATTTGGTTTTGTTGTTTGTTACATGACTTATGTGACCATTACTTGCCTCATGTTAATTGTGTCTCTGTTAGCTTAGGTTAAATTGATCATTTCCTGCGAGTTTGTTCCATTTATTTTGTCACTTGTTACGTTTATTGATGTCTGTCACTTTGTTACGTGATCTTATGTTTCTCATCTTCTTTATTATGTTGTTAGTTGTGCTCATTTACTTAAGATACTTGTCCTGTCGTAACATTTATTATGTTAGCTTGTTTTCCGTTGCATTCTGAATTTTTTTCCGTGAGTTCATTAGTTGGTTGCGCTGCTTGTGTTTGGTTAGTGGCGCGAGCGCAACTGGTACCACTTCTATTTCTCGAATGTTTTACAAGTTGTTGTCATGCTAGTTGGATTAGGTTACGCGTGTTAACAGTACGTTAGTTGCATCACGCTATTTATTTTGTCTGTTGTTGTTTTACGTTCGTTCTTTGAGCGCTAACATGTCGCGTTTGTGGCGTTACGCTCGTGGAGCTGATTTGTTGTGTGCTTGTAACGCATCGGCCTTGTTGATGAGGTGAAAGTGACGCATTTGTGTTACATGCTTGTTGTAACTTTTGCTACAATGCTACAATGTGGGACTATAGTCGCGTTATGTTTTTTTTTTTTTTTTTGTTGTGTCATTAGCTTCGTGTTTATTGTGTTCCGGCAATTGTTTTCTTGTCACTTGTGTGGTACTCAAAGCCACTTTCTTATCTCACATTTTCAGTTTTTGGTTCTTATTGGAGGCATTACGGTCTTTTATTTCCAGGCGGAGTTCGCGCGCGGGGTTCAAGTTGACGCCGAGATCGGAGCGGCGTGTATGTGTGTGTTTGCTTGTTAATAAGTTGTTTTTGTGTGCAAATAATTAGCTTTCCTTGTAGAAAATGATGAATTTGGGCAGTTAATTCATCGATCGGCCGATGCGCTGGGCTGTGGAAAAGTCATTAATCAATGCGTGAAAAGAGCTAATTCTCCTCCCGCTGCTTCCTCCGAGACAACACAAAAACAACACAACACACACCCCACGCTGCCGCAGGAATTTTTTATTTATTTATTTGTAAAATATTGCTTCACACACGAGCGCTGGCTTCTTTTCTGGGTTTTTTGTTTCTTTGTTTTTTTTTGCTCATTAAAAAAAAAAACAACAACAATCGGGCAATTTATTAAAAACTACACCATGAGCAACGCCTTATTTTATTTTTATTTATGTATCTTTTTAATGTTTTATGCACACGCACACACACACACACACACACACACACACACACACACACATATATACAAGCTGTCTTTTTTTTTTTATTTAGCTCCTTCAGAAAAAAAACAACCATCGGACAATTTATTAAAAACGACACCATTAGCAACGGGAGTGAGGAGAAGTGGATTAGAAAAGGGATGGGTGGATGGCGTTACAGGACTTGTGTTACATGGCTCGTTCTCTGTTAGCATGTTGTGTTAGTTGCTACGCTAGTTCTATCCTTTCCTAAAGATCATTTTGTTGGCAGGGAGCTCGGTTACCGTTGAAGTCCTGTACAACTTCATCAACCTGAGAAATAACAACCCGTGTTTTTGTTCCACACAGGATTGTCGTCAAATAACAGCCGGATGAAGTGACAAATGGGTGAGTTTCTTTATTTTGTTTTTCTTCTTTTCAGATGTGTTTATTTGAATGATGAGTGAATATGGCATCCCTCAGGGAAACATGTCGAGTCCACTTATCCTTTTGATTTTTTTTTTTTTTTTTTTTTTTTTTTTTTTTTTGGACTACTTTATTAGCATTCAAAACAACCAACGATCCCACACATTGTGTTAATCGTGACACGTTTGTATGTTTAAAATCTAGACAGCTCAAGTGATTTGGTCTTGACACGCCAGGGGTGACCTCCCTCCCTCTCTCCTGTCCGCTCGCCAGTATTTTTGTTTTTTAAAAAAAAAAATGTGAAAAAGTGTCTTTTGGGCCGGCGAGAGTTCATGCGGAGTCGCTGGCGTGTTTGTGTTTTTGTTCCTTATCAATCCAGAGCCGCTCGCCAGAATGACGGATGGCGGCTGTCACGCCGACGCTAGTCATAACAACGCATGCCTTTACGTGTTCTGCCGTTTAGCCCGCGTCCTTATCCGCGCCTGCGCTCGCTGACTGATGTGCTGTGTGTGTGTGTGTGTGTGTGTGTGTGTGTGTGTGTGTGTGTGTGTGTGTGTGTGTGTGTGTGTGTGTGTGTGTGTGTGGTTGTGTGTGTGTGTGTGCGTTCCCCCAGAGCCGACGGCTAGCAAGCTACGGGTCGCGGATAACAAGACCGACCCAAAAACACAATGAGCTCAGCTATAATCTGTCTTGTCTGCATGTGCGCACGCACACACGCACGCACGCACGCACACACACACACCTGCCTGGTGGGAGGGGCCTGATCTGATATGCAAATGACTTCTTTGTCATTTTTCTAAAAACCTTAAAAATTGTCCAGCCACTTTTTTTTTTTTTTTTTTGCACGAAAAAAGTAAAGTTTCCTTGTTTCATGTGGCTAAGGAAATCAAGACCAGTGGGGCTAATAATAACAATCAGCAAGTAATAATAGTAATAATCTTCACGGCAAACAGAGTGCCTCAAACAGGAAGAATTGGGGGATGGGGGGCGGGAGGGGGGGGGTGAGGGCGTCAGCGTCAACTGCTTGTCAAATAACAAACACGTATCATACCATATGATGCCACCAGAGGGTGCTACTCACCTGAACGTAGCAACTTAATTTATGTCTGAGTCATTTCGGCTCCGACCTTGACCATCGAATGAATTAAACGGCAGTTAACTCTTTGAAAAATAGGGCCCAACCGCTAATGCCGATTCCGAATATTTATATATATATATATATATATATATATATTTCCTTGTTTCATGTGTCAGTGTGCAAGTTCAAAGTTCACATGTAGACTGCACGTCACCAGGGAAAACGTGTGTGTCAGAGGTCCGAGGGAAAAAAGAGAGGGGGGGGGGCGCGTGCGGCACGTGGTCACGTGCTGCTTTTTTTGGCTGCGGTGGCGAGCAGGACACATCATCTTCCTCCTCTTCTTCATCCTCCTCCTCCTCTTCTTTAAGGTCGAGAAGTGAGAGAGAGAGAGAGAGAGAGAGAGAGTGTGTGTGTGTGTGTGTGTGTGTGTGTGTGTGTGTGTGTGTGTGTGTGTTGTGTGTGTGCGTGTGTGTGCGAGTGCGAGTGTTCCTCCATGAAGAAGAAGAATCGAGGTTGGCCGTCAGCGCTCCTCAGCCGCACACACGCTCGCAGCCTCACCGCACCGGTAAGCTTCTTATGATGATGATTAGGATTATTCTTGTTCTCTCACACATTCTTTCTTCCTTTGTTTCTTTCTTTTTTTTTTTTTAAACTCTCTTTTTCGTAATTTCTTCATTTTTATTTGGGACGAACCAACATCACCTATTTTTTGCTTCCATCTGCAAAAACTTTGCGGGCGTCGCGACTCAAAGTCCACATCAACGTTTTAATAATCAAACACGTTGACGCGCTTTTGTGACATTTTGCTGTTGTTTGTTTGCTTGTTTTTTGGGTTGTTGTTGTTGTGGGTTTTTTTTGTGCGATTCACAAGCTGACCCTTAAAAAGTCGAGCATGTTGGATCGCGTGGACCACATGCAACACCCTCGTGCGCTCCTTTAAAAAAAAAAAAAAAAAAAGATTTCTATTTGCACTCGTGTGAAAATGTTTTTGCCAAAACGCGCGGCGCCTCGGCACGCGTACCGCTCGGGTTGCGGCTTTTGTAGCACAGGAGAGATGATTTCGACGTGGAAAACAAATTCTTTCGATGGATGTTCATCTTGACATCTTTCAAATCTTGACGTATTCGAAATTGAGCGTCTCGATTGATTGAAAAGAAATTGAGCCGGAGCATTTTTTTAATCAATTGCAGCCCGAGTGTGAGAATGGGGCCTTTTTTTTTTTCCACCTGCCCGTCACCATCACCTCACCAAACTCACTTTGATTCTTCAATTCAAGATGACGTCCCCTCAAGCAATTTTTAATTTCCTTGACTTTTTTGCAGATACCCCCCCCATGAAGTTAGCCTCTTTCCGGTATGTCGATGCGTGCGCGGATATCATTTTCAACATTGCTCCATCCTCAATCAAAACTGCACTCGAGATGTGTTTTATGCGTCCTGGAATTCGGTGACGCGCTGACGCCGTCGTTAAGTTTGACACGACCTCTTGGCCGCCGCTAAAGCAACTCTCCGACATTTCCGTGCGCTCAATCAAACGAGGGCTCTTTATGATTGCAGAGCCGTCAGTCTTTTATGAAAAAGTGTGTTTGTTTTTTTTTTTTTTTCCTCTCTTTGCACTCATTGATGTGCAAATTCCCCCGTCCCGCATGAATGTCGTGAAAGTCGATGGGGACGCGTTGGCCATTTCAAACGCAATTCAAATACAATCTCGACGAGTGTGCGCAGTTACGTCAGAAGGTAAACAGGAGTCGTATGTCATTCATGAGATGGATTTTTTTTCCAAGGAAGGCATGACTGATGTGTGTGAGAGCCGCAGATGATTGACAGCTGTCACCCCCCCCCACCACCCCCCGTGCAGACGGCGTGGCGCCATGCTGAAGCCGGGCGAGGCATCGGCGAGCGGGGCGTCGGCCTTCCTCAAAGTGGACGCATCGGCGTACCTTCATCACTGGCAGCAGCTTTTCCCGCACACGCCGCTCAAG